GTGTGGAATTCGCCTCGTTGGTCGAACCACTTTATGATACCTTACTAAGACGATCGACGAAATTTTCGCGAGTCGAACATACAACGAAATGGGAGCCAAGTATTTCCGGTGCCATTGATACGCTATCGAGAACTTCCGAAAAGAATCGGACCTCGACAATCGACGAGGGGAGGATTTTTATGGCGCCATTTTCGATGGAATTCTGTATTTAATCTTCGGCTGGATATAGAGAAACGATAACTGTAATATGAAACATTGCAATATCAGGGCATAAAGAATAGATTCATGGGTTCACAGATTCACTCTGGGAATATAGGGATGACTCTGTTGGATACAAACAAACCACTATGAAGCAGTAAGGTTCAGATAATGAATACGAAGAATCTTTCATACTACTCAGAAATTGATAAAAGGCAGAACAGTTGAGTTTCATAACTTAGGATTATATCAAATTCTATTTTTCTAACTTGTGAAATGGAATGAAAACCATAGTCTCCGTTCATTTTCTGTGTTCAAACTAAAAATGTACAACACGCGCCAACGACATATTTTCAAACAATGTGTACCAAAGTTAATTTTATCTCCGCCAATGATCCTAATTATCCGAGAGCTGCAATGAAACCGGTACACTAAATTCACGAGTAACGTAATTAGAAGGTAGTTACACGCAACTAGAGGTTATTTCTCCCCTTACAACAGGAGTAAAAATCGGATAACGAGCCGATTTCCCGACGAAACGACTTTCGGAAAGAAAAGGGCTCGCCAGAGCTTTATTTTGCAGGTTATCGACAAACGATAAACGCGCGCCGGTCGCATGCAAGCTCGTAAACGTCGTCTAGGAACATACGCAGAGATTTCGTTCGCGCGATCAAAATCTCTGAAATCGATGAAATAACGCCTTAAACCTCTTAGGCGGAACTTTACGCTACTTCTCTGTACGATAGAGTTCGAATTACGTGCAAGCATGTATAGCACTTTAGTGTGTGACAATGCTGTTGTACACTGAAATCAAGCTTGTGATGATTACATTTTTACCGAAGATACATGTACTTTAATTTTGATAATTTTTTAGAAAATTCATGGAATATGTAATTTGCAAATGTTTCATTTTGTGTATTAGTGTGAGAGGGTGCTCCATGGTGTCTAAACTTGACGTTACCTTTTATTTACTTGTAATATACTTTTCTGGGATTTGTTAATACTCTTATAGAACGTGGTGAAGGCAAAAAAGTGCGAATCGAAAGATATGAAAAGGATCATTGAACTGAAACGAGCGAGTGAATGAGCCACTATTAGTGGCGCTAAGTGATCTACAACGTCACTATAGTGTCACATTGTGCCCCGGAGGTTAACTCTCCATCGTTCTTGAAATCTGACATATCAGATGCTGTAAAATACAGAAAATAGTAACCTATTAATTACTCTCCACAAAATTTCTGCAGTAACACTTATTAAACATACACTACCGTCCATAAGTATCCGGACAC